TTTAGGCCAAGACAGAAAGGGAAGACATGGGAGAAACTGATGTCATAGAGAAAGAATTTTTAACTAGTTTAGCATGTGGGGTTTTAATGAGCTTAGCAGAAGTCGGAAGGTAGTTACTCAGACTGAATTATCACTATGTGCATGTTATCTTAGCTAGAGCTAGAGGAGGATCTCTTGATATATTGTCACTATACCAAGGTTTTAGGCTGAATTAGAGATGTCCCTTGTATCCCTGTGGAGCCTAGTTACTGATAAGCTAGAGCTTCAATCAAACTGTATATCACTCCCTATGCTAGCTGCATGCCGAAGGTCATTTGAAGAAGTCATTATTAAGGTATCTGTAAGACAGCATTCCTGTTACCTCGGCAGTGTCTGTTTTCTTTAAACTTACAATGAATGAATCGACAAACACAAGATGTCACGGGAACACCCTGCTCTGAAGTTAATGATATAAAGGAGATTGTTATACTCTATATTAGCAGAGTCGGGTGCCGGTGGAGATCGACACTCATTCTCCTTGGTACCAAGTAAGAAAATAAACTGCTTCGAACGGGAGCTGGAATCAAGTCTCATTATTAGTTAAGTAGAAATAATAAAAATTTCTACAACAACGAGGGGCATAGGATGGGAAGGGACTTTTTCCATTAGTAGGTGGGTCAATAATCAGGGGTCATAGGTTTAAGGTAAAAGCTAAAAGGAGAGTTGAGGTGAACCTTCTCATTCAGAGGGTGGTGAGAGTTTGGAAATCACCATCTGAAAGCGTGGTTGAGTCAACAACTGTAATAACATTTAAGCAAGTATTTAGATGTTGCCATAGGGTCCAGGGCTATGGACCAAAAGCTGGAAAGCTGAATTAGTATAGCCAGATCGATGTTGATCAATATGAACATGATGGGCCAATTGGCCTCATTCTATGCTGTAAAAATCTATGGATCTAAAAACATAGCAGGGATTTGGGGAAAAGCTGGGGGAATTGGACAAGGTGAGTTAGTCTTAGAAAGGGTTGGCATATATGGAATTTGCCAAAAGGTCTACTCCAGCACTGTAATCAGTTTGATTGTATTTTACTTTTTTGAAAATGACATCTCTCAGTTTCAATCTCCAAATGCTGGTATTTCGTCCTCTGCCCTGTCTTAAAAAAAAAAATTGTGTAATTTCAAAATCAGGGACATGTATTTGTAAATTTAGTATTTGGTCAACAATCCTTTTTTTGTAAGTTCCTTGAAAACTACAATGTAAAACAATGGTGTTATTTATGATTTAGATAATAGTGCAAAGTTAACATTACATTTACTAAACATGTGAAATTTGATTCTTTAAAAAGATCTATATTTGGTAAAAATGCAGAACACATCACCGTTATTGCAACTTGTTCGATAATTTACCAGATCAAACTGGTATGAATGGGAACAAATTATATTCAATAACATTTAACTACATCTAATGTAATTTATCTATCATTTATGTAAATTTCATCTGCATTCATATAAAATGCCATGTAAAGTTGGTATCATGCAAATTAATTTTGTCCGTCTAAAGGCTATTGAAATGAATTGATACACCAATAATAAAGCAATATTTGTGAACTAAGTAAACCTACCTATCCAAATACAGTACAGTATATTCAGATCTTACCTGTAATATGATAGCTGACTTGGCAGTTGATTTCAGACGTGTCATCATCTCTTGTGCTAAGGACTGCAATAACTTCACCAGGTGAATCACTTTCTCTAACAGATCCCCTATATATGTCATTCACAAAATTTGGAGCATTGTCATTTATGTCAGTCACAACTACTTGAACTATCGCTGTTGAGGACAGAGACATCATCTCACCATTGTCCAAAGCTACCACTGTAAAAGTGTAGGTTGGATGCTTTTCATGGTCAAGGTCTTTAAGTGTTCTGATCCAGCCACTGTTGCTGTCAATAGCAAATATTTCTGTAACCTCTTCAAGTTCTGACTGACCTGCTGGCAGCAAGCTGTATACAACTTGTCCATTAACTCCTGAATCTGCATCAACTGCTTGGATTTGAATTACTTTGGTGCCTATAGGCATACCTTCCATGACCGTAGCCTCATATGGATTGGTCTGAAAGATAGGTTTGTTGTCATTCAAATCCACAACTTCAATTTTAACATTAGTTGTTAAAATGATGTCCGTTCTCCCATTGTGCACTGTGACTGTGACCAAAAACTTATAAGAAGGAGTTGCTTCATAATCAAGTCTCTTGTCCAGTTTTAAAATGCCAGTGTGTGAATCGATCACAAATATTCCATCTTGATTATTTTTTGACAATCCTCCGTTAATTATGCTAAACAAAAGATTCTGGCGAGGCAAAACTTGGATTGTACCAACTGTACTTCCTATAGGGGTATCCTCTGGTAGCACGAATGCATACTGATGCTGCAAAAAAGCTGGAAGATCTGTTTCAGGAGGAAGCACATGAAAATATACAGGAACAAGAACACTTCGCATTGGGATACCACCATCTGAAGCTTTTACAAAGAAGGAAAGAACTGTATTTTCTAAATGGTCAAAATTTCCCTTTGTGACAATCCATCCAGTTTCATGATCGATGTCTACTGCAGTTTCTACATAATCTGATTCTTCACAATACAATGAGTATATGATCTTTGCATTTTCCTGTTCATCCAGATCAAAGGCCTCCACCTGGATGATCAACGACCCTTTTGTCACATCTGCTTTGACACTTGTCCTGTATTCTGAGGCCATAAACTGGGGAGCATTGTCATTGTCATCCACCAGAATGACTTTCACAGTGCAATATGCTGCTCTACCACCACCATCGACAGCCATCACTGTAACATTAATCTCTCTCTCCAGAGGAAATTCTCTGTTTAGCTTTTCAGTTACAATAATCTGACCTGCAGAATTAATAGAGAACCGATCTCTTGCAAAATCATTCACTATAAAGTAATTAATGTTCCCATATTCTCCCGAATCTCCATCAGTAGCCATTGCCTGAATCACCTTGCTTCCAATGGCAGAGTTCTCTCTCATTTCCACCACATACACATTGCTTGAAAAGACAGGACTATATAAATTCGCACCAAGTACACTGATGTGCACTTGAGCAGTGCTAGTAAAAACCCCATCTGATACAGAAACATTCAAGTTGTACCCAGAATCCATTCTTTGCTTGCGATGGTTGGAAAGCGTAATAATGCCTCTTTTGTTGTTCATGACAAAATTCATATGATCATTACCAGATAGGATACTGTACTCTAATTTCTCAGCATCAGAGCTATCTGCATCAGATGCCTGGACGCATGTTACAAAATGACCACGTGGTGCAAGCTCATTCACATAGGACTCGTAGAGAAGCTGGTTGAAGACTGGGGGGCTATCATTCATATCAGTTACATAAACAACAACTGGGACGTCAGTGCTCATTGGGGGAATGCCACTGTCTGTTGCTCTGGCTATAAAATTATATTGTTGAATGAGCTCATAGTCTAGCATGCGCGATGTTAAAATCAATCCACTTGTGCTGTCTATGTGAAAGTAGTCTGTGCTGTTTAAATTGTCCTGGACAATCTGATAGCGTATTAGTCTTCCGTTTTCAGAATCTGCATCCAAAGCTATGACTTGCAGTACGGGGGTTCCAACCATTGAGGATTCAGAAAGGGTTGCTTCATACTTAGTTTTTTCAAAAACTGGAGGGTTGTCATTAACATCGATTACAGATATATCCACAGTCACCTCAGCATGAGCACCTGTTAGAGAGTCTGTTGTCTTAACAGTTATTTTATAGCTGGATTCAGTTTCATAGTCCAGAGGGCGAATGACACTAATGACGCCTGTATCAAAATTTATACTGAATTGATTTAAGGAATTTCCATCAGTAATGGTATATATTAGATTTTGACCTTCAGGACTTGATGCATTGATACTGAGGACGGGGGTGAACGCCTGTATGTCTTCATTTACAGTTCTTGAATAAAAGGGTTTTTCAAAGACAGGCATTGCTTTGTTAACTACTGTGATAGGCAGTTCCGCAAATGTGGAAAGAGAAGGAGAACCTCCATCTTTGGCAATGACTATAACATTATATTCAACATTGGATAAATCAAATTCAAACGGTTTCTTTAACATAACAATACCTGTATATTGATTAATCTCAAAGTGACCATATCCATCCCTAAGAAAATAAGTTACCTCCCCATTTTTACCCTTGTCATGATCAACAGCTGTAATGTGATAAATAATAGCACCTTGTTCTGCATCAACCTGAACAGCAGCATAATAAGGCAGGCCTATAAATACTGGGGGATTATCATTAATATCTTCAACCTGGACTTGAATGACTACTCTTGCAACACACCAGGGATCATGCTCACGACTTGCTTCCACTACTAACTCATAAAACTCTTGTTCTTCCCTGTCAAATGACACAGGCTTTGTTTGCACAATTCCTGAAGTAGATTTAATTGTAAACTTGTCACCAGGATTCAGTATCCGATATTTCAGTGGCTCATTAAGCATGTTACCCACTGCATTTACCACTGCTACTTTTTTTATTTCCGTGCTATTCTCCAAGATGGAAGAAGAATAGAAACTTTGAGTGAATTGCAGACCACTGTCAATTGCATCTTTCACTCTTATTTTTATCAGAGCTGTGCTGCTGAAAGTCCCGTCAGATACACGAACAGTAAGTCTATAGAGTTCTTCAATAAGAGTGTGATTCCTTACAGTGACCAATCCACTTTTCAGATCAATCAAGAAATAGTTTCCTGTATTTCCATCAGTCAGTGTATAAGTTAATTCTGATAATATTTGAAAATCTGGATCTGTGGCTGACGCAGTGAGAACCTCAACACCACTATATGTTGGCAGAAGAAGAACAGCTTCATAAACGTCTTGGCTGAATTTTGGTGGAGAGTCATTGACGTCACTCACATAAATGGTAACCTCTGCCGGAGTTTCAGCTATGAGCTGTGGACTTCCGCTGTCTCTGACATGCACTTGAAAATGGAAAATTGGAATCGTTTCATGATCTAGATGTGCTATAGTCCTGACTGCACCTGTATTTGAATCAACTGAAAAATATTTCTTTGCCGTAGATTCAACAATTTGATAGACAAGCAATGCATTCTGGTTACAATCAGCATCAGCGGCTCTTATAACAAGTGGTTTGTTGCCAGTAATCAACACAGCACTGTTGACTGGAGCAGCCTCACTAATGCTGCCAGAGTACTGTGAATGCAGAAATATTGGAAGATTGTCATTTTCATCAACAACATGAATACTGACGGTAACATTTGAAGACATTCCTGCCATATTGGATGCCTGAACAATCAGCTGATAGAAGGGAATGTGCTCATAATCAAGCGCTTTCTGAACACTAACGACTCCAGAATAAGGGTTTATTGTGAAGACACTTTCTGGATTTCCACTTCTTATTTCATAAACTATACTGGATTTACTCACTGCTGAGATCATAATCACTGAAGTCCCAGTACGGGCATTTTCATTGATCTCGATTGTGTATTCTTTCTCAAGGAACTTCGGTTGTGCATTGTCCGAAAGAGTCACAGAGACATGTACAATTGCAGTAGCAGAAAGTGCTGGGAAGCCTTGATCAGAAGCTTTAACAGTCAAAACGTACTGTCCAAGGGATGAGAGATCAAGTTCTTTAGAAACAGTAATAATTCCCAAAACTGGTTCAATTTTAAAAGTATTTTCATTGTTTCCTGTAAAAGGAGAGAGAATAATTCCAAATTTAAAGTAAAAACTATGTGTATTTTTGCAGATATTAGACAAAAACTACATTGTTTTAAGAAAGTTGAATGCTTAATTTAAAATTGGCATTTTTATCTTGATTTGCAAACTGTTTTAGCCAGTAAGGGACAGATATATTTAAAACAAAATTTCAGAATATTTATTTAGTATTTGGATTTATTTATAACCGGTTGAAATCTCTGATTTCAACTCCTGGAGTACACATGATGTGGCACTGTCACTTCAGACAGAAGTGGTAGCTGGTCAGCAGGATATTTAGTTTTGGAATGCAAAATGAAAAAGCATTTAAGAATGGAAAGGAGGATATGAGGAATGATTTGTCTGCAACATAAAGGGGAACCCAAAAGTTTTTTATAGAAATAAATGGAAAGTACTTGGGATAAAAAAGGATATCTTCTCATGAAAGCAGATCAAGAGCTTGCACGGAGAGACTGAATGATTATGTATCCATTTTCACAAATAAGAATGAAGTTAATGGAGATAACAAGGTGTAGAACTGGATGAACACAGCAGGCCAAGCAACATCAGAGGAGCAGAAAAGCTGACGTTTCAGGTCTAGACCCTTTTTCATTTTCTGAAGAAGGGTCTAGACCCGAAACATCAGCTTTCCTACTCCTCTGATGCTGCTTGGCCTGCTGTGTTCATCCAGCTCTACACCTTGTTATCTCAGATTCTCCAGCATTAGCAGTACCTACTACCTCTGAAGTTAATGGATGTGTTTTTAAACTCCGATGCAATTGAGTGACTTTGGGTAAAGTTGGGTTTCACTGATGGGCAGGGTGGGAGGGTGCTGCACAGAACAGACTTCTTACCCTTTCCAACTCAAAGGTCGGTTGGAAAATATGTCCAATCCACACCAATAGCAAGCTGTGGAAGACAACAGCAAGGTTTGAGAGGGACTTCAACCCCTCACTCAGAAACTGACTGGCTGGTCACTTCTGAGTTCTGCTAGGACAGCAGCCAGGCCCATCAAGAAGACAGTGTAGATCCCACAGTGGAGCAATTCCCAAGCTTTGGCAAGTATGGTGTTTTCTTCTGATGGAATGTGGGATGTGGGATGTGGGGGGGAGTGGTGTGTGTGTGTGTGTTGGGGGGGAGAAGAGTAAAGGGTATTCATCGTCCCACGCTTTCTAAGCTTTGTAGAAACTGACTATATAATCCTACCATGTTAAGGCATGAACAGCGTAATAAAGGGGTCAATTGAAATTTGGAGGGATAATTAGAGATTTCAGATATGATAAAAATTGGTGCTAAATAGGTTGCAATCACTGCAGGTTAAAAAGTCACCAGTCCAGATGGGATACATTAAATATTGTTACAGGAAGCCAAGGCAGGGTCCTTTAATTCTTTTTCGTTATGAAACTGGTGCCAGAGGACAGGTGAATTACAAACATTGTAATCCTGTTCAAAAAGAGCTCCGCTAACTGTGGGTTCATCCACCTAATACCAGTATTCAGAAAACTACAAGAGACCATTGGCAAGAACAAAATTAATTCAGATTTAGGCAAGAATGGTTAATAAAGACAGGCAGCAAGGATTTGTTCAGTGCAAATCATGTCTAATTAAGCTGATTGAGACCATTGATGAAATTATAGAGAAGGCAGTTTGAACGTAGTGTCATAGATATTTTATATATAGACTTTCAAAAGGTGTAAGCAGCATATAAAATATTTGTTCAGGAAATAGAAGCACATGGTATCAAAGTTATGTAGTGACCTGGGCAGAAAATTGCCTAAGGAACAGAAGGCAAAGACTAGTGATGAATGGATTTACGTTTGACTACTGGAACAAATTCAGTGAGGTTCCCCAGGGTTGATCATAGGGTTACTGCTTGTTGTCAGCATACAAGTTACTTGGGGTTGGCTTTTGGGAGTACCACTTCACAACTTGTAGATAAATAGTTGATGACCTGCTAAGTATTGTGCAGGATTGTAGCAGATCTCATGAGGGAAGACTGGTGAATTGGAAGGCACATAGCAGATATAAATTATTACAAATTAGGTGAAGTAATGCATTTTGAAAGAACCACTATGAAGAAGCATTATAATTTGTTTACAATTGTCTTCTTTTGAAGATAGTGCAAAAGCAGAAGAACCTAGGGGTGTACGCATAAATGTTTCAAAGGGTAGGGAATCTAATGGTGCAGTTAAGGTTATATATGGTGTCCCTGGCTTTTAAAATAAGGATATTAGGTATAAAAACAGAGATCTCATGCTCAACCTTTACAGATTATGGTTGGATTTCAGCTGGTGTATTTTGTACAATTCTGGGCATTACACTTTATGAAGAATAAAAAACTGGGATTGTTCTCCTGGGAGGAGATGCGTTGATATTAGAAGGAAGAATCGCTATTAGAGGATTCAACATTATGAAGAATTTTGACTGAGTGGGGCAAAACTATTTCCTTTGGTAAGTGATCAATATCAGAAATCATGGGTTTAAAGTAGTTGGCAAAAGAACTGGAGCGGAAATTAGAAGAAATTTATTTACACCATCTACAAACCATAGGTAATGAGCGCAATGGAATATTCCCCATTTGCTTGAATGGTTGCAGCTCCAATAACACTGAAGCAGTTTGACAAGATCCAGGACAAAGCTGCCCACTTGACTGGCACCACATCCACTTCCTTGACCACCGTCAGCGAAGTAGTGGCAACAGTGTATACAATATACAAAATGCTGTTCTGCCTGAATTCATGAAACATGGGAATCTAGCTCTTCAGCAGCAGTTTTTCACCTGCTGGAGGGAGGAGGTAGCGCCTCAGGATATGAATGATGCAAATATTGTGTCCTGTTCCAGAACAAGGGCAATCACAGTGCTTGCAGAAGTATCAACACATCTCCCTGTCAAGCATGATGAGGAAAAGTATTTGCATGTGTTGTATCATAACGCTGCAGATTTTGGCTGAACAAATCTAACCTCTATTCCAGTATGTTTACAGTGGCTCAGTGGTTAGCACTGCAGCCTCAGAGATCCAGGAATCCGGGTTCGATTCTACCCTTGGGTGACTGTCAGTGTGGAGTTTGCACATTCTCCCTGGGTCTGTGTGGGTTTCCTCTGGGTGCTCTGGTTTCCTCCCACAGTCCGAAGATGTGCGGGCTAGGTAGATTGCTTATGCTAAATTGCCGATTGTGTTCAGAGATAGGTGGATTATAGGGTAATGGGTCTGGGTGGTATGCTCTGAGGGTTGGTGTGGACTTGTTGGGCCGAAGGGCCTGTTTCCACACACTGTTGGGATTCGATGAATCTACAATTTCCCTGATATCCCTAGCCCCACAACGGCAGAGAAAATGCTGCCAGGGCATTCAAGTATGGAAACAGAGATGTTCTATTTAAGCTGGACAAAATGGTCTTCATTCCAAAGATTAGCATGATTTTCTTTTCCTACATCAACGTGAAAGATATGATCAGCTTTGACAACGTAGCATCAGAACTCTGAGTTCTGCAGTGAGGTTAAGCAATGTTGTGTTCTGGTGCTGTTACCCTGGCAGTTCTTCTGTTTGTTGCTGTCATATGCCTTCAGTATTCAGAATGTGCTCAATTTCCCTTTCAACTCAAACGGAACTAGCCAACCACCTGAGTGTCTATGTTCCAACATGTACTATTCCATGGAGACAAAAGACTATTTGAATGAGAAGCTTGACACTGTTCTAGGCAGAATCCCTAATACAGGACATTGCTACCGACTGTGAGATTTCAACCCTGTGTTGACAGGGACCATGTGGTATGACACCCCTGCTTTAGACACAGTGGCACTGGAAAGATAAATGGAACTGTAGAAGAGGCTACTTGAGCTTTGCTGACCTTAAGGTGAGGGCAGCCTTTCTGCTTTGAATGAAAAGGCTTCTTTTGATGTGTCAGCAAGTATTCTGTATCCCACTCAGTGATGCTTTAACTGCATGTATTAAGGAGACTGTTGAGACAGTTACATCTGGTATCACTTTTCTGACACCTGCAAGTGTCAGGATACTTTATGGCATGGTTTGTTTTGAAGGAAGATTTCAGTTGTCCAAATCTCAGGGTAGTTGCAAAGCTCAAGTAGTCATTGTCAACTTTTACAGAGTCAGAGCTTTTATAGAATGATTAAAAACTCTTTAGCCCATTGTGAGAGTATTCAGCAGGAGCCAATTGATAATGAGTAGGTTTGATTCTACTGTTGATGACCAACTACAGGCCTCGATTTTTAAATGTACAAATGTAATGCACAAATAAACGGCAAAAATTTATGCGCTGTAAAGAAAGAAACTCAACAAGCAGTTTTATTAAATGAAACAAATCATTTGATTCAATCTGGAGTTTGGATAGAGTGATTACATTTCCAGTTAACTAATGCATTGCAGCTCCTTGAGTATTTTCTGGATGTTACTCATGATACACAGCTTATTTCAAATTAAGGTAATAGTTTAAACAAAATTTGATTGTGGCAGAAAACCTGATGTAGAATTGTTCAATCCTTATTTACACCACTAATTTTAGTGTTTATAGTTTTGCATCAACAAGGCCTTTTTTTAAAAATTATTACTTACCACTTTCAATACTGTACAGTAGTTCAGCATTTTGACCTTTGTCCTTGTCCAGGGCTGTAACTTGCAGAACAGCAGAGCCAAAGGTAGCAGACTCAAAAACTGAACCATCATACACAGCACTAGTGAAGTAGGGGACGTGATCGTTGGCATCATCTACATTTATTATAACTCGTACCAAATTACGTCGATATGGGAATTCTTGATCTCGGACCTGATAAAATAAATTTAAAAGTTAGAACAACAACACTGTATCATGGCAGCAACATCTTCCTTGGTAAAGACAGAAGTAACGGTAGCAGTTGCAAACATTCTTGCATAACCTTCCAATTCTCTTTGGCATCATGGCTTGTGACAGAGATTAGAGAATTACAAATATCACACTCTTGTTCAGAAAAGGAAGTAAAGATGAACCAGTCAGTGTAACACTGACCACGGAAAGCTCTTAAAAACAATAATTTGGAACAAAATTAACAGTTACTTGGACAAGCATGAATTAATTTGGGAAAACCACCATTGATTTACTGAAGGCATATCATGTTTAATTAAATTGAGTGAGTTTTTGATGTGGTAACAGGAATGATCGATGAAGGAAACAATCAATGAACGCATGGATTTTGAAAGGTGTTTGACCATTTAAACTGAAGCCCATGGAACAAAATGAAAACTGCTTATGAGCATGAATTCAAAGTTGGTTGACTACCAGAAAACAAAGAGTGGAGGCAAATGATTATTTTTCAGATTCGAGAGGGTTTATAGTAGGATTCCCCAGAGATCAGTACTAATATATATTTTCTTGATAGATATTAATGGCCAAGACTTAGGTGTACATAGCATAATTTCATAGTTTGAAAATTTGTGGATGACATGAAACTTGGAAGTTTATGAACAACAAAAAGAGGATATTAACAGACTTCAAGAGAACATAGGCTGTTGGAAATATGGTAAATGAGATTTAATATAAAGGAACATTAAGTGATATATTTTGATAAGAGGAGAGGCAGTTTAAAATAAAGGGTTCAATTGTAAAGGGGAAATTGGAACAGAGACACCCAAGGGTATGTGTAAATGAACTTTTGAAGGTGGTATGGCAAGTTCAGAAAATGATTTTAAAAACACAAAGGATCTGACTTTACAAACCAAGCCATACGGCACAAAAAGAAGGAACTTACAAAGAATCTTAATGAAACACTGACTTGGTCTCAACTGGAGTATTGAGTCCAATTCAGGGCACTGCACTTTTAAGAGGTTCTGAAGGTTTCAGAAGGGTACAGGTAATATTTACACGAACAATCCCAAAGCCAAGGAAGTTCACTTACAGATTAGAAAAGCTGTTACATTTCTCATTAAATGGAAGGAAGTTGGGACAAAACATGACAGATGTGTTTAAAATTATGAAACCCATAGAATGGATAGAGAGGAACAGTTTTGGCTCATGAAATGTGAACCAAAAGACTGATTAAATGAGTTTGGCAGAAGGCCCAATGGTGACATGAAAAAAAAAACTGATTACACAGCGGGTGGATATGATCTAAAATACACTTCATGAATCTGCCGACACACAAAATAAGTCTCACAACAATGGCAATTACATATTAAATGCTGCAAAACTGAATGATTAAATACAGGAATTTGGTAGTTGCAGGAATTTGGTACAGTGAACATAAAGATGCTGTCACATGCTTTACAAAAAATGCAGTGGTCTAAGAGGGGGCGCTAGACACAGCAAGGCCCAGTGTTGAAGGTTTGAGGCTTTTATCAGTTCTGCGGATAGGTGATATTTGACTGACAAGTGACACAAAGGTTATGGGTGACAAACAGAAAAGTGAAATCAAGGCCACAATGAAATCAGGTATGATAATATTGTATTGGATGCTGTAGCAGGTCTGCTGTGCTGAATGGTTTACACCTGCTCCGTTAAGCACTTGAAGTTAGAAATGTTGCAGGGCTAATGGGTTAAGTGCCATGGGTGGAAGCAGCTCAGTCCCTATTTTAGAAATATGGAACAGATGCAAGATGCTGTAACTAGGCTGATTCTCTGATGACTATACGTTTCCAAAGTTCTCTTGCATCAGGAACTGTCCCTTTAAGTTGGAAAATTGAACATGTCACTTCATGATTTAAGTAAGGTAAGGAATTATTGACTAATTTGCTTAACATCTGTTGTTGACAAATTGCTAGAGTCTATAATTAAGGGTGACTGAAGACCTTAAAAACATTCAATTGACTAGACACAGCCAACATGAATTTACAAAGGATGTCATGCCTGACAAATCTAATAGAATTTTTTTAATAAAAGGCCTTAATTATTCACTGCATTCATTCGTGGCTTAGATGATGAGACAAAAAGACAAAGATCTGCATTTGGCAACAACGCAAAGGTAGGCAGTACTGTAAGTGATGTAGATGAAAATCAGAAATACCATAAAGATTAAATGACTGGGGTAACTGTAACAAATAGATTTCAATACGGACAAAGGTGAGATCATCCACTTTAGACTTAAAAAGGATAACGAGTGGAACAGGATAGGCAGAACGGGAGAAACTATTTCCACAAATTAGGGAGTCTATAACTTGATGCTAAAGTTTCCACAAGGGAAATTCAAAAACAGATAAGATAACAGATAATTAACATTTGCATCTCTCTTCCACAAATGGCAACTGATGTCAGATCAATTGTTAATTTTAGAATTAAGATTGGTAGATTTTTGTTCTCAAGAGGTATTAAGCCATGAGGCAAGGATGATCATACAGGATTAAGAGAGATCCTAGCTCCGATCTTATTAAAATTTTGAACAGGTTCCAGACACTAAGTGGTTCTGTATGCTCCTATGGTCCTAGATAGAGTGCCAATAACTAATTTATTGTCTTTTAAGATACATAATTTACACTTTTATGAGACAGTTGTACATTACAAGGGTGGTTTCTGAGAGATCAGTTTTGTTCGACACACATTTGGGTTATAGACAAAGTTTAACACTGCGCCTTTGACTCACCAAGTTGCCTGGCAGCAACATCTAGCAAAATTACCCCTCAGACATAAACAAGTAGATACACTAATGTACTGAAAGAACAAACATATGTAGCTTTAAGGTTTTGGAGTAGATCTGTAGATTGGGTTGTGGGTGTTGAGGTTGGTTGGCTCGCCGAGCTGGTTTGTTGTTCTGCAGACGTTTCGTTACCGTGCTTGGTAACATCCTCAGTGCAGCCTCTGATGAAGCGTCGGTGTGTTTTCCCGCCTGGTTTTTAAACTCTGGGGTCCGTTGCAATGGATTGTCTCACTTCTGGGTTTCCTCCATAGTGGAATGTATATGGGGTCCAGTTCAATGTGTTTATTAATAGCATGCTTCATGGAGTGCCACTCTGATGCCCAGCGGTCACCACAAAGCTTCTACGACCGCTGGGCATCAGAGTGGCACACAAGCCCACATCAACCCTACGACAAGTGCTCACCCAAACTAAAGACCCACTCCCCGCCATGGACGGGACCAATGTCATCTACAAGATCCCCTGCAGAGACTGCGAGAAACACTACATCGGACAAACAGGAAGGAAACTAACAACAAGAGTACATGAACAACAACTGGCTCAAAAAGACACGACCAATACTCACTCATCTCAATCCACATGGACAAGGAGAACCACGACTTCGACTAGGACAACACCAAGATCCTGGGACAGAGGCTAGGCAGAGACAAGCACGAGAATTCCTAGAAGCATGGCACTCCACAAAGCATGCTATTAATAAACACATTGAACTCGACCCCATATACATTCCACTACGGAGGAAACCTGGAAGTGAGGCAAGCCATTGCAACGGACCCCAGAGTTTAAAAACCAGGCAGGAAAACACACCGACGCTTCATCAGAGGCTGCACTGAGGATGTTACCAAGCACGGTAACGAAACGTCTGCGGAACAACAAACCAGCTCAGCGAGCCAACCAACCTCAATATGTAGCTTTATTTCTGCAATAGCTATTAGTTAGGGTTGAAAATTCCTAAACATACAAGATTATCTCCTCAGAATGTGAAATACCAGTATGTAGTAGCTCGCTGAAATATGACTGATAGAAGATGCCTGGAACCTGGACTTCAATTAATGATGCTAAGCTACCCTGCATCTCTGTGGCCGGGATTGATCAGTTGAGTTGTCAGTCAAATAAGCTTCTGCCTTTTCATTTGTGGGCTCCCCTAGCGGCTGGGTTTGATTGCTTATCATTTTAAAGATAAGTTGATAAACAGCCTTTAGTAAATTGGAATAGAAGTCAGGTACAGAGAACTGAATTTTCAATTGCTAGTGAGGGACAGAAATCAATGTGGGAATGATTTGAAAAGTGGATGAGAAGAGACACTTAAACAGACTGTCAGCAACACCTAGAGAACCACATGAGAAAAGGACCTCAAAACCGATTGTTAACAACAACTAGAGGAACAAGCAAAATGAGGAAACTATGAAAGGCAGTTAGCATCACCCAGAGGAGCACGTGAAAAAATGACACCGAGACAAGCAGACAGAGACAGAGCTATTTTCTACTTTCCCATTTCTAGTTTAGATAGTCTGAAAGTAGGCTTAACGGAAGGCAGAGTAGCTTAGCTGCATGGAATACCCGTCCTGCACAATCAGGCTCCATGTGGCCCAGGCAGTCACATAGGCAGGATGTATCTCCAGCTCTAGATCCACAAAGCTGAGGATGACTAGGATAGAATGTTTAGGAAAGTAGTTACATGCAGATTAAGATCAGGGAGACAGAGAGGAATGGGTACTTTTGGTCAATTAGAAGGGCCAGGCAAGTAGTTCAGGAGACCTGAGTCTATCACATTCACCACAAGACCATAGAAAATAGCAACAGGAGCAGGGCCATTCACCTCCTCGAGCCTACACTGCCATTCAAAAACAACATGGCTGATCCAGAATTTCTCAGGTCCATTTTCCTGCATTTTCCCCATAACCCTTAATTCCTCTACTGATAAAGAATCAATCTCAGCCTTAAATATACAAAAGGACTCTGCCCTCACTGTTCACTGCAGCAAGGAGTACCAAACACTCCAAACCCTCTCAGAGAAGAAATTCTTCCTCATCTCAGTCTTAAATTGGTGCTCCTTTATTCTGACACGATGCCCTCTGGTCCTAGATCTTCCCACAATGGGAAACATCCTCTCAACATTTTCCCTGTTAAGCCCCTTAAGAATCCAATATGTTTCAATAAGATTAC